CCTCCCTCAGCGCGCGCACCACGCGCAGCGGACCGCACTGCGCACTGCCCACAGCGCACGGCGCACAGTGCGCGTGCTCTCATTCCAGCGCACAGCACAGTGCGCACCGCCGCGCACCGCACTGCGCACTGGTGCGCCACAACTATGGTCCCAAGTCAACCCCGAAGGGGCACATGAAAAGGCAGCCCTAGTCCAGTCCGTTTTGTAGCAAGTACCAGAGTGGGACTGCACATCTTGAGGGCCTGGGACATCGGGCAGGCCCAGACCACCAATATCGCGTGAGTGAAGAAGGGGATTTATCTTGTAAAGCTCTTTCATCGGTAGTGAGATTATGACAAAACCCGAAGAAGAAGCCCCGGCTAATCCATAACACGAAGATCAGAATCACCATCAAGAAAAAAAAGCTATCATGATGTAGGATAGGCGTCAGTGCAGAACGCCTGCCCTCAGAACCACACGTGACAGTTTCCCGTCATGCAGCTCGCCCCCCAAAACCTTAGCCTTGTTTGGGGGCTCGGGAAGGGAAGCTGACAAACAGCTTCGCTTCGCGCCTTCCGAACGAAACAGTATAAATATAGAGGCAGTGACCAGTCATTCACTCATTCTGAGATGAACTACGCGGAAGCACTGCTTGAGTATCTTGTGCGTGGAGTCACAGGTGGTCCAGCAGGAGAGCCCGGGCTGAAGAGGGCAAGCCATAGCCGCTAGGAAGAGGAAGACGACGGCGGCCATAGCCGCCCGTGTGGAGAAGATAGAAGATAGAAGATCGTGTGTGTGAGTGCAGACATTCAGGGTAGATCCAAGTATTGTGTGCGCACGTGTGTGAGTGTGTCTGATGGTCGATACAGTGTTCGAGTGGGAATTTCAGACTGGCGCTCAGACGCCACAGCCGCAAGATGTGACAAGTTGTCTTGAGCCGAGTTCCTGGCCGAAGGCCATATCCCTGAGTTTTCTGTGTGGGCACACTGCGCCATCTCAAGCTTGTTGCTGATTCTGCTTTGAGAAAGTTGTTTTGCCATCGGCATCTGCATGTATGCATGTTGGACGTGAAATCGAGACGAGTCTGAATGCAGTGGTATCAGAGATGGATCCTGTTGTCTGCACAACCATAGCAAAGGACGTGAGAGAAGACTAGTGACGAAGAAGAAGGCGAGCGAAGAGAGAGGTGACAAAGAAGAAGGTGACAGCAGCCATAGCCGCCGACGACGAAGAAGAAGTCAGCCATTTCCTCTTCCCATTGGGGTTCTGGAGGACTGTTCGCTGTGTTGTGACTACCCAGTGTGGACTCCATAACCGTCTGTATAGTAAAGAACAGGAGGAGAAGGCTGCCACGATTCTCCAGGAGCAGAAGGAGAAAAAGGAGAAGAAAGCTCTGGAGAAACAGGCCAAGAAGCTGGCCTTGCTGGAAGAAGAAGCGGCCAAGAAGAAAAAGATGGAGGAGGAGATGGAGGCATGGAAGAAGGAATAGGAGGCGAAGTTGGCCAAAGAATTGGCTGAAGAAGAAAAAGAGAAGGAAGAAAGCGAAGAAGAGGGCACTCTGCTGCAGAGAGGAAAAGAGAAGCAAGCAGTAAGGGGCCTAAAAGAAAGGAAGGAGAAAAGAGGAGAAACGAATACAGGCCTAGCCCCACCGGAAGAGGTGGAGAAGGCTGTGAAGGAATGGGTGGCAAGACTATCCTCGGGGGAAGATAGGGAAGCAGAATTGGCTGTCCCCCAGGCAGAAAGAGAAGCAGTAGAAAGAGAGTTGGAAAGAGAGAGGAGCCCCTTGCATCGTCAGGCGAGAAAGCAGGAGAGGCTGTTAGAATGGAAATTGCACCTCGCGAAGGAGAAGACGAGGCGATTGGAAATGGAAGACAAGATGGAGGAGGGATTGAAGGCGAAAGAAGTGAGGCTAGGTCAGATGGGAGAAGAAAAAGAAATTGGGAAAAATATTGACACCCTCTCCCATGGTTTGGCCTCTGTTCTGGCAGCTCAACGAGAACAGATAAGACACCTCCGTGGGCACGATGTAGCACTTGAATCCGTACGAGGCAGATTCCACAACTTTGCCCATGAGATGATGATTCATCTCATCAACGAGATGCGGATCGCAATCTGTAAGACAAAGAAGTTTTGTACCAGTGCGATCGAGGGTGTCAAGATGGCAGTCCCCAAGGAAGAAGAGCCAGAACCCCGCCGGGAGAGAGTCTAAGTCCGCCTCCCTAAGCCCTACAGTGGGAAAAGGGGTGAGGGCTTTGACAATTGGGAGACTAGCATTAAATCGTATCTGTATTTACAGAACGTGCCTCCCGAGGACCATTTGAGTGGCGAAGCGACGTTCGCCAGGTCTCTCGCACGAGGCGCCCGTTCCGAAAATGCATGGTCGCCTATTTTGTCGTTACTAACCTTAGCGATTTTTTCTTGCTGCAGTGCGAGAACGCTTTGCGGATGTCACTAGAGGATTGAAAGCTTCTGACAAACTCCAAATGATCCATACGCGGCCTTGGAAGAGTGTTCACGCAATAAAAGCCGCTATGAACGAACTCATTGTTGTGCCTGGCCATGGAGTTACAACAACACGGCTAGTCCAACTTTTCTACCGCGCGTTGCCTGAGCAATTGCAAGGGCATTTCGTCAACAAGAGGCAGCAACCTGGGATGACCTACGATCTCCTTAGTAGGGAAGTTGTTGCCTTCGCCGCCCAGTCCATACCGGTTACCACTTTCTGGCATAAGGACGTAGTTGAAGGGGAAAAGGTGGAAGGGTCGCACCGTCTCTGGCCAAGTCAGGGCCAAAGATAGTCCAATACTAACCATTGGAAGAAGACAACAGTGTAGAGAGGGGGAGTCAACAAGGAGGAAGGTGGTGCAGAGCAAGTCCCCTACACATACAAAGAATATAGACTTGAGGAAGAAGACAACAGTGTAGAGAGGGGGAGTTCATACGTTGTTGTCGTGGTCGGAGGAAGGCTGCAAGAAGAAGGATGAGGTCGTGGCAGAAGTGGCCAGGCCTCAGGTGGTCAAGCGCAAGGCGGCTAGGGGGTTGGAGGCAACAGAGACCGCCAAGTGGGAGGAAGAGGTCAAGGTCCCCCGCTTAACTGCCCTAGCTCAAGTTAGTCACCTCCCAGAAGAGATGAATGACACCCAGAACGCCCTGAAGGCAGACCATGGGA